TCACCTCACAAATGGAACCAATTTTTAGCAATTTTCGGACTTCTTCTTGAATCACCTGACTCTTGAAAGTTCCTTACTTTCTTTTCTTTTGCTTGACAGGAGGGTATGATGAGTCTTCATTTAATTTGTGAGTCATCACCTCCAGTGGTATCCCTGTCATGTCAGAGTGGGACCAAGCAAAGTAGTCCACATTAGTTTTCAAAAATTCAATTAACTTACCTCTCATGCCTTGGCTAAGATTGGCCCCACCGTAGACCTTCTTATCATGCCATTGAGCAAATAACACAATAGGTTCTAGTTCATCTATTGTTGTTTTGATATTTTTATTCTCTTCCGGTTCTTGAATGGTATAAGGCCTTGAATCTACATCTGTTTGCCCTTGTTCAGTTGAGGTTTGTGTTGTGGTGTCCTATACTGCTTTCTGTGATTGCTATTTTTCTTCATTTCTCGTGCTTGTATTTGCAACGGAGTTGATAGTCCTGGATGTATGTTGATCTCCACAAATTTGACAAATTCCCCATGGCGACGGAAATTTGATAACTTGATGCAAGGTTGATGGAACTGCATCCATCTCGTGGATCCATGGTCTCCCAAAGATTATGTTGTAAGCCATCTCCATATCTACTACCTGGAACTTTGTATCTTTGTCGACTGCTTCAGCGAATGTGGTGAGTGTTACTTCTCCTTTCGTCACAATACTAGAATTATCAAATCCAGATAGAGTATGCGCCTTTTACTTTATCTTCAACTTTCATCTCACGTAATACTCTTAGAAAAATAATGTTCACGGAACTACCTGGATCAATCAAGACTCGTTTTACAATAGTATCATATACAATTAGAGATATTACCAGTACATCGTTATGAGGGGTTAATACGCCATCTGCATCTGCATCATTGAATGTAATGTTGTTTTCCTCTAAGATATGCCACACACATTTCTTTTGGGTAACTGTAACTTTGGAAATTTTGTTAGCTGCAGTATATGATATACCATTGATGTCTTCACCACCACTTATAACGTTGACAGTTCTTTTGGGGGAAGGTGGTTTTGGAGGTTCCTGCCTGTTCTTCATGTAAGCTTGCTTACCTTTCTCACTGAACAACTCAGTAAGATATCCTTGTTTCAATAAATGATCAACTTCACTTTGTAAAAATTTGCAGTCTGTTGTTTTATGCCCGTGATTATTATGAAACTCGCACCAATGATCACGGTTGCGCCTGTTTGGATTCAATCTCATTTCTTTTGGTCATCGAACCTTATCATCCATGCTTCTCAAAACAGCTACGAACTCGGAGGTGCTGACATTAAAATTGTAACCACCGAATCTTGCTTTTAAGTTTTTATCATCATCTCGTGACTCATAGTTGTTTCGATCGTTCCTAAATCTTGATGAAGAACCTGATTCTTTATTCCTTGATCTGTGATCATGCCTTTGATTGTCCTGCTTTGACCGTGAGTCTTTTCCCACAGGTCCCATATACAGGTCGTACCTATTTTTACCAGATCTTTTTTCGGTCTCCGCACGTCTCGAACTTACCTTTTCTTCTTTTTGAAATTGCGGAACAGTATCTTCTTCGATCCTCAGCTTCGTGCTATACCTGTTATAAACATCATTCCACGTTGTAGCTGGGAATTCACGAAGGTTTTCCTTGAGTCTCCTCGTAGCTTCCGAGCTTTTCTCATTCAAGTTGCTTGTGAAAGCTATAGCTGCCCAATTATCAGGTACATGAGGTAAGGTCATTCTTTCACATTGGAACCTGTCTACGAATTCTCTAAGCAATTTTGAGTCCCCTTGCTTGATCTTGAAAATATCTTCCATTCTTTTTTCGACTTTTTGATCTCCCGAATGTGCTTTAATGAAAGAATCTGCAAGCTCAGCAAAAGAGTTTATAGAATTTTCGGGTAAAAGAGAATACCATGTTAATGCACCCTTAGTGAGTGTTTCACCAATTTTTTTGACTAATACTGATTCAATCTCCTGCTTAGTCAAATCATTGTCTATTACGCCTGTTGTGAATGCAGTCACGTGATCTCGTGGGTCTGTTGTTCCATCGTATTTTGGAATATCATGCATTTTGAATTTCTTTGGAATTGGAAGGGGAGCAGCATTTGGCTTCCAAGGTTGTTGAGAATATTTATCCATATCTACCCCTTTGATTACGGGCGGTACCCCGAGTATTTGCTCTATGCGGTCACTTTGCTCCTTGAGTTGTTTCTGCAATGTTAGTACTAAATTTTGCAAATCTAAATTAACTAAATTACCTGGTTCTCCCTCTTGCGATTCACTGGGGGTTCCACCGCTACCTAAATTAACAAGCCCGGAACAAGGATTCTCCAGAGTGTTATTATTTGGAGTAGGTGTGGGTAGTGCAGCAGGTAACTGGCTAACCAAGGCCTGAACGGCTTTATTAACCTGTGCGGTAATAAGTTTTTGCAAAGCCTCATCCATAACTTCAACATTTTCGAATTGAGCCTGTCCATTTGTATGAGATCCATCAGGAATGCCTTCACGAGATCGTCGAGTAGAGCCTCGTGGAGAAATAATCAATGCGTTATTATCCTGAGGGTCTCTCTGAAGTTGTTGGTTTGTTTGGTTTTCTTGGTTTCGTTGAATGTTGTCATTGTTGTTCGACATAGTTGATGCAACAAGGAAAGTTAAGCGAAAAGAAAATAGATTATCAGATTTCCGGTAACGGAACCAATTTGTTTAACCAAAAAATAAAATTTTAGTCAAAGCTAGAATTTAGAAGAACACGGGTTACTGATAATCGAAAGAATATGTAAAAGAGAGTAATTTGGATAGCAAGAATATAATCAAGAGAAAAAAATAAGTAAACCAAAGTATATTCCAATAGTGTTTCGTGTCCTTACAATTGATCAGATATCTTCCTTTTTTAGATATCTTGGAGATATGCGTTTTGCCTAAATCATAATGAGGCTATTATGAGTAATTAAAGATATTGAATGCTATGTTACATAATCACTATATTCAATACAGATTCTCTAACATATTCAACTTTTAATGCCCATTAAATACCGTATCTACACTCTTTTATATTGTCAGATTCATTCCCTTTGATTCTTGAATATAAATGACTTAAAGAGGTACGGGCGCTGAGTTATTTGAATAACTGCACGTGCCTCTTCCTTTGCCTTTGCTCGTGTCTGTTGCAACTCGTACCTCTTTGCTAGTTGTCACTCTTTGACCAGTCTACATATCTTGACACATCATCTTTATATGTAAACACAATTTTTCCCAATACAATCTTACCCTTAAAACTCGGAATTTTGTTCTAACAAAAAATATGTGGCGGGAGAGAGTTAGAAGAATTGGACTTGGAAAAATAATTTCAAAATCCTCTAGATTATTCTATTTAAAGGGGAAAGGGAGCAAAGAGAGAGGAAGGAAGTCACAACTCCTTTTTGCCATCTATCTCCTTGGGGAAAAAAGAGTTGATAATTAGGACTAAGGGCAATTTTAGTATTTCATATGTATTTGGGTTATATTATATATGTTCTTCATATGATATTCTTTACCTCTTAAAACATCTTGTAGTGTTTGACATTGTTATATTTCCATGCAATGTTCACACACAATTTAAATTCTGAACTCTAACGTGATGTTTATAATGTCAAATTAACTTTTCAATTATTAGTTAAATATATTATTTTATTATCATAAATATAATAAGTAAGTAAAACCAAAATACAAACTTTGTTTGGAATAAATACCATCAAATAAAACTCAAAGGGGAAACTGGAAAGTACGTGTTTATTAAAATATTGGATCCATCAAGCGCAAGAGTGCGAATATTCTATCTGAAAATGGGAATACGACTCTGAAAAATAAAACACATAAATTCACAAAATCATGTATAGGACGGATCCATGTTGGAACATGGTTGTTTTGTTTTTATGGAATACAAATGACCACGTAGGCTGAATCACAGCCGTTTCTAATTAGTGGCAAAAGATAATGACGGTGATGAGAGGAGGCCACGTGTGGTAAAAAATCCACTGATTGACTAGAATAGATAACCTCCGTTTCTGGGGCGAGAGTTGGGGAAACCACGGGCTTTTTGCGTCCTCAAATCAAAGAAAGAAAGAGACGTCCAAAGATGAAAACGGTGCTTGAGCTTCTCCATCCACACAGCAGCATGCAATATCAATGTCATGAATGGCAGTATATATTAATATCACAAAATTTAAGAGATCGTTAATTATCGGAATTAGTTTAAAATCACATTTATCTATCGTTTTGGTTATTGTTATTAACTAATATATATAGGATAATCTTATTTGAACCAAGCGACCTCTAACTGTGGGATAAATAAGAATATGCCGTGGGTTGATTAACTATCCTACCTTGGAGTATATGGGATCACTAACACTATTATTTAACTATACAATTTACACCAATATTAGCTAAAAGTCATAACCAATATGGAATAAATGCAATGCCAAATATCTATTCTAGGATTACATCTTTATCTCAATAATCAAACAACTCCAGAAAATTCTTTCATTAAAAACTTCGTATTAAATTAAACATAGCTGTATAATATAATTAAAGAAAATTATGTATAAATTAATTCTTCAATTATTAACTAGTAGTTTCGGGTTCAAGTCGTAAAAATGAATTGCCCTCGCAAATTCAAATGAGTTGGGGTTAAATAACAGTACACAATATTTATTATTTACTTTTTCTAATCGTATACAAAGATTATATATTGATTATATATATTATATCTTCACCAACTATTTTTAGTTTAATTAGTTGGGTGAGCCACTATTTGGATTAATTCTTTTTTTAAAAAAAATTACGTGCAATCAAACGTCACATAAACTAGTGCATTTGTCTAGAGAAAATCTCTTCCTTTTTTTCTGTGGGTCCGTTACTTTGACCTTTGACTGAATCTGTATCACCCCTTTTCCGCTTTCACTCTCTCCGCAACGTGCACTCCACCCACCCCCTATTTATACTCCTTGCTCCTCTATTCACTCTTCCCCGCTCTCTGCAACTGCAACCCTAATTCACAATCTCTCCATCTCTCTCACTACTATAATGGCGGACAACAAACAACGGAGTTCTTCTCCCGGTGACCGGCGACAACCAAGCCGGTTACAACGGCGGGCGCCGGCGTCTATACAAGTAAATCGTGCAACCGATTGGAATCTGGCGATACCGCTTCTATCGCCGCTGATAACTTCTCCGACTTCTCCCGAATCGGACAACTTAAAGGCGGCAATAAACTCCTTTTCCAGCTCAGCTCATAAGGAAGAGGTGAGGAAAGAGCATTTGGAGAAGCCGATGATGGTGTTTAAGAAATGGCAGCATCCGGCGGCACCGTTTTGCTACGAGCCGGCTCCGTTGGTGCCTTTTGTATGTACAGGAAGCACCGATAGACGATGAAAGTAAAATATCCGAATCGTAATCTTAGGTTGTAGCTGTTGATACAATCTGACGGACAATATTCCTTTTCGCGATCTGTAATTTGCAGAAGGAATATAGAAGATGTAGTTCTAGCCTTTTTTAAACATTAAACACTCTGTTGATAATCTGTAGCTGCTTTAGCTCCTTTTTTTCCTTACAATCAGTACAATTATTAAGTTTTGGTTACTGATTATGAATGATACTATGAATTTCCCTTGAGAAAACTCAAAATGAGACTGGGGAAATGTAGTTCCTTTTTGCTACTATTTTTAAGTAATATCCAGTCAATTTGCGGACATTACGATTAATTCAGCATATACCTGTATTATTCTTCTTAGCTTTCTTCAATGTTCAGTTTGAAAAAAATGTTATTCCAAATTGTATTCGCATTTCGCAATATGTATCTTCATTTGTTTCTTAACCAAACAAATAAGCCTGAACGATTAAGTCCCTCTTTCCTTCTGAAAATGACATTTCTGACCAGGATAAAAGATTAAACTAAAGAAGGAAGACAGCTCTTGAATTGACAGGTGGAGAAGCATCCTTTTCTCATAGCAGAATACCAAGTGTCTAATCCACGAATTTTCTAATCCAAAAATATGTAACCGCAACAGCACGGGAAAATGGAATAATCATGGCCAAATAACTTGTCCTTTTTTTCATTTAGACACTTCAACTAGGTTTGTTCCTATTGAACCCCTAAAATCAAGTCTAAATATTCCTATCAGACACGTTTGGCACAATCTCAGAAACAGCTAAGGAGTGTGCCGTCAAACTCCTCCTATGTGCAAAATAGACGAATCAATATGTAACACGTGAAAAAAAAAATCCCCCCAAATCTATCTTCCTCCCCCTCCCCATTTTCTCTTCTTCTTACCCTTCCGTCCCCTTTTACCATATTAAATTAGGTAATGAAAATTTTGTGGAGATGACCCCAAATTACGGTGATAAGATATTGGGTAATGGAAGTTTTGTGGAGATTTCTTTGACATATTCTTTCTTGTTCTCATAACTTCTCTCTCCTATCATTTTTTTCTATTTTTCTTTGTCTTCCATTTCCATACTGAAAGTTACTTTCTAAGTTTTGATTTTGATGGGATGACAAAAATAGAGCAAAAAGAAAGAAAATTGATTTATATCAGTTCTTCAAGAATTATGTGAACTAGATACGACATTTATCCACAAACTTTCATCTTTGTTGAGTTCCCAACTTTAAGAATAAGAATGTGGTGTGACAACCGAGTCTAATGAATTTGTTATTAAGTTGAATGTTTCTGTGTTGCTAGAGATAAAGAATCTGAGCTTTCAGTTGGCGGTATCACCAATCGCCGACATCGAAAATTGCGATGGTGATATCACAGTTGGTGTTGCGAATTGCTCCGATGGTGAATGCGAACTTGGGAAGGAAATCACTGGACAATAACAATTGTTCAGAAATTGCAATTAAGATAAATGGTGGATGTTCCAGCCTGAACCAAAAGATTCTAAGCTAAACTGTTAAGGATTGGACACCAACAAAATAGGAAAACTCAGAGAAGGAAAATGATGAACGACAAAAGTATTTTCTGTTTTGTCTTTGTGGCTCTACAGTCTTTCCTTTTTTCCCAACTAGATGGGAGAAGAAGGGTGGTGGAAGCTGGTGGGAGGGAAATAGACTGAGGAAGAAGGAGAACAAAATATTTGGTTCAAAGATATTGGCTTGACGCGCTCAAAATGAGTGTTGCACACATGCTTTGCCATCTCAGCAAGATGTGTCTAATTGGCACAGTTTAACTCTAGTTCAGGGGTTCAATAAGAAGTTCAAGTATCTAAATGAAAAAAAGAGACAAGTTTAAGGGGCCACTTATGTATTTGGCCAATAATCATTGAATATTCGGGAAAGGGCCATAATTTCCCTCGTACTCTGCGCTCAGGGCCACATTTGTCCTCCGTTAAACGTTTTGCTGTTTTATGCCTCTGCCGTTATAAAATGGAGTATATTTGTCCTTATTTTCAAATTCAATTAATGGAATCCAAAACAAACAGAAACAATTACAATCTTTTAACGGAAAGGGACAAAAGTGCTCTCTTCGCATTGTTCAGGGACAATTTTTGCCTCTTCAGTTTTCTTTAGAAAAAAACTAACTAACCTTTTTGGTTTCCTTAATTAATACTTATAATAGACCGGCCTTGTGGCCTAAAGCCAAACTTTTTGAGGGGCCTTAACTTTTTATTTTTTTATTATTTATTTTAAGTCTATTTTTTAACTTTTCTCATATATAAAGTTATTAATAGTTTTCTTATAATCGGTAACTCCTAATAAGTATTTCTCAACTCACAATATAGCTAATCCATTTAACCTTTCTTGTGACATTGTTGTTCTTAGGTAAGATTTTATCAATTTTAATTTTGAAAATTTCTTTCCGCTGATGCAACGGTAACATGAGTTATTGACATTATTCTATAAGAAATTTAGGTATTTGAAAAAGAATTAAATCTTTTTATTTGATAAGTGTATCAATTAACTGTAATCTTCTAATTGTACTATTTTCCTTAATACTCTTAATTTAGAAAATAAATTTAAACCATCAATATCGAATTGATTATTATGCTTTAAGGAACATTCCAGATTAAGGCAATATTTTTTCAGATTTCCAACATCTAGTGATTTTAATTTTTATTGCCAACTAGAAAGCCAAAAATATTTTCATATGCTTTGAATTGTTCAAATCTATTTTGAAGTGAAAAAATAGCATTATCTATTATGTATAAAAGTAATCAACTCTAAAGGACCCTTCGAAAGATTTTGAGATTTCTTTATCAACATTCACATCAAATTGTTACTTCCTATATATCACACGTTTTTTACGAAATTTGGGTTCGATATTTATTTCAAGTGCAATTTCCTTGGTAGAAATCATAGCAGTTGCAAATCCTTCTTCTCTATATTTGTTAAAGAAAGAAATCAAACTTTTTCACTTCACAAAACCTTTTTTGAAACTTGTACATAGTTTATTAGATGTAGCATAAAATAGGGCCTCTACAAATATGGGGCCTAAAGTGGTTGTTTTACTTGCTTTATGGAAGGGCCGCCCCTTATTCTAGACTAAGATTATTTAGTTAGAACAATATTTAAATTGACAGCATTGGAATGACTTTCTATCCTCACAAGTATGGATCAGGCCTGCGTACACACTACCTTCCTCAGACCCCACGGTGTGAGATATCACTGGGTGTGTTGTTGTTGTTGTTGGAAGTTTTTACTTTCCTAAATTCTAAGTACCCATCTACTCTTTGTTGCGTGTGTTTGTGCTCACAAACCTATACGAATTGGTGTTTATATTTTAATTTAAGAAAAATAAGAATTGGTATTTATATTTATCGCATAGTATGAATTTTATGTTCTATCTACTCTTAAATCAATATAAACAGGGAATTTGAATTTCAAATTAACAATTGCAAAATTAGTATATTGACTTCTGGCAATTTATAACATATCTATTGTGAAGATTTTTTAGTTAACATTTTGAAGAAAGTTTGAAGAAATGAAGAAGACTGAATTAAGCAAAGTAATACAAGCCAAATGCCAAATTGTCTAATCAGTCCCTCGTAGTTTATATTCTTAGACGATTCTTTTCACTGCGTTCTATTATATTAATTCTTATTTATTTGTCTTTTTTTTTCCTTTTATTTCTGCATACAATAATTAGATTATGTGACTTTTTGAAGATTTTAAAATTTTTACAATTAAGGTTGCAAATGAATAAACGAGTACTAGCCAACTAAAAGGAGCTAAATTGCCCCTAAACTGTGTGAAAAGAGCACTTATGTCCTTTTTTCCATTAAAAATTTGAATTTATTTTATTTTATTAAAGATTCCGTTAACTTAATTTGAGAATAAGCCAAATTTGGCCCACTTTTATAACGGCAGGGACATAAAACAACCAAATTTTTAACGGAGGACAAATGTTGCCCGAGCGAAAAAGTACAGAGGTAATTATGGCCCGTTTCCGTTGAATAAAAGGTTGAATGGAGATAATAGATGCTTACTACTGATAAAGAAACATAACAATAAAAGGGGTTTTGTTATAAAATAAAGACTGTAAAGTAAAGACAAATATAGAGAGAAACTGATATATTATTCGAATTCCAATTGATGTATATAATGAACTGAAATCTCTTCTATTTATAGAAGAAAGGAAGCTGCTGTGTAAGCTGCTATTACAAGTTGTTGTGTAAGCTGCTACGCAAGCTGCTACTGTAAGTTGCTGTGTAAGCTGCTACTATACCAGATATGAATAATCTTCTACTGAGAGCAATGTTTATCCATAACGGAATACTGAATGGATAAGCTTATTATACCCGGTATGGATAATCTTCTACCTAGGGTAATGTTTATCCATAACCGGGTACCGAAATGATAAGCTTCTTCAGGAAGCTTATTTCCAATAGAGTACTAAATGGATAAACATATTTACGGTGGAGTCCCATATAAATAAGCTTCTTCAGAAAAATTATTTACAACGGAGTACTAAATAAACATCCATAATATAATATATTTATAACAGTTTTTTTTTTTTAATTGTATAAATAAATAGACACCGAGTATATTGAAAAAACTACTTGTACTAATATACTACTCTTATGGACCGCTGTTCAATTGATTGTTCTCGAAAGCATAAAATTTGTATGCACGTGCGTTCTCACAAACAACAGGACATAATCTTCAAACCCAAAGTGAATTGCATATAGCCTCACATAACTGTGAATTGCAAATAGGCGCAATTTTTTATTTTGTGTCTCACATGACTATAAATTGCAAATACATGAAATTTTTTATTTTGCGGCTCAACTGATACTAGTTGTGTGAGACCTATTTTTTGTCTCACAACTTTGTGGTCTCTAATTTTTGTGGATTCAAATGTATAATGTTACAGATCTACAAATGTGTGAGATAAAAAGAGGCCCCACACAACTAATGTCAGATGTGTGAGGCACACCATAAATAAGACCGCAAAACGAATCCAATTAAAAGGTGTGTTTGGTACGAAGGAAAATATTTTCCTAGAAAATGAATGGTTTTACCAATTATTCTTCTAATTATGCACACAAATCCAAATGAACTAATGTGTTGCTTTAATTTTTTATGCAAAAATAACATTGAAATTAGTGCTCCATAACTAAAAAAATACTCTTTTTTTGGTCGAGAAAGAAAATACTATTTCTATGACATGAAAATAAAGTACTCATTTTGTTGAAATGAAAGAAAATACTTTTTCTACATCATGAAAAAA